TTGTCTCACTGTACGTTTGATACTCCCCCAGCAGGCTGGTAACACCTATGGAACTATGGTAGCCAGACCCGATAAATGCGTTGAACACACCCGCTAATACGTTGCGTCGAACCTCGAATGCTGGTAGGAGGGTAATGTGAGCAATACAATAGGCTAATGAGTAAACTCATACAAATTGCGCAATCCGCTCAGTAGGGTGCTGTCCCTGATCTCTGGCAATCTGAAAACCGCGGATTAATATCAGCACACACCACTCGCTGGTGCAACTCACCTGCCAGGTTGGAGGCATCCTGTTGTATCACCTTAGATTAACAGTGACCGCTATAGTGTACACAATGAGCACTGATTTAAAGTACACATACACAATAGAATGGTATCCGACGGAAGATTCAAAACTTAGTTATCTATGCGGTTCAGAAGAGGACGATGCGTTGTGTGTAGAGTAAACGTCACAACTAATGTTGTCATGACACGTTAAGTGTATGACTGAGAGTACCCGAGTAGCATTGATATTACAGTTCGCAATTATTATATCCTGAGACACCACACGCCTATATCCATACCATTATCTTCTAGTTAAACAGAAAACTTTTGAAGTTTTCCACCTATAACTTTCTTTTCCTCTCAGAATTGGTGGGTGGATACAGTGGGATACTGAACCAAAAAGAGCGACCAGTATACTCGACCTGATATTCACTTGGGACGTTACAAATACACAAACAGCGGTATTAAACATACTCCGGTTTGCGAATACAAGATGTCACGATTCACTTTCTGCGTTAAATTGACCACCAAATACGCCTTTATTGTGCAATATGCAACATATAGCTTGAACTGCAAGCAATTCCAACAATTTATCTGATCATCCGATTGGGACGCATTCTTCCTCTCTAACTATGTGTGCACTGCCGTGGACTATTTCTACCATCGGGTCCATCAGGCCATTGCTGTCCTTACTTCACAAAACAAGGGGGGGTCACAAGTGCCCAAAAAGACGCAATCGTGCGTTCAGTCAGCCGGGAACAGGGAAGACTGAATACAGAAAGACGGGAAATTTCGCCTTGCTTTTACAGCCGCACAACATCATTGGCAGAGTCAAGCACATACAGTTGACGAAGCGGATACACGATGAAAAATTGCTATACGAACCACATGTAAAACGAACGAACTTATTATAATTCTGTGTCGCAGAACTAATTACCACTCACCCTTGATCGATGGACAGGTTGATGCAAACGGACAGCCCCCTCATGATCCAGCTGACATCTACGAAGCGGTTAGCTCATTTCTGACTACCTCCAAAGCCTGAAGACGACCACGTTAAGTGCGTGCATTGAGGTGCAAATAACCAACGCCTTTTGTAAAATTGTAGTTTCTATCAGCACTATCCAACATGTGCTGATTTACAGCAAACAGTCTTATCATCTGGATTCCGATGGTATCCCATCTGTCATCATAAAACTGCGAGTGCCTGACATGCCGTTACTATTACTGAACATGTTTACACTTTCGTTGGAATCAAACTACTTTCCAGACCAATAGAAAACATCGCGCATCATCCCCCTTCACAAGGGTGTTTCCAAACAGGGAATTAACAACACGTCTGGTGCTTTCCCGGACTAGTCTGTGCTATGTAGCTTGTGAACTAATGCGATGAATACCTTTAAACGATTAGATCTAAAAATTCCTGCTATTCACGAGTAGTATAAAATTAACAATTACCGGCCAATCCATAACACTCCTTTATTAGCCAGGATATTAGAGAAACTGGCTATGAATGGTGTGGTGAAATTCCTCAATTCGCTGGAACTAATCGACAGCTCCTAGCACGGTTTCTTGGACACACCATTGTGCATAACCTGTCAATTCATTTTCTAAACCATGTTTCGTATTCTGTAGACCAGAGATACGCATAGTTTTGTTCCTGGACATAGAAAAGGCATTCGATCGAGTGCCCCACAAACGGCTGCTGATAAGAGTGCATCCTTAGAATCCAGCATCCACTCCTAAGCTGGCAATATAACCATAACTGAGCGGTCGTTCTCAAGTGGTTTCCATAGCCGACCACACTACACCACGTCTGATCACTAATGTTGTCCAAGGGAGTGTGCTTACTCCGTTATTGTTCCTGCTCTACATCAACGACATCAGTGAGGTTATTAGACATGGCATGCTTTTCATAATTGCAGATGACATAAAGATAGTCCACAAATTCCAACCAGCTGAACTACAAAATACATAACTGCTCGAACGGGAAGACCTCCACTCCCTTGAGAAATGGTGCGCCACTTGGATGATGAGGTTCACGGCGAAAAAATCTAGCATAATATAACGCGGTTGTTCGATAACCGAGGGATTGATCACACTCAACGACGAATACATTTGTATACAGCAGTCTACCCGCGACCTCGGAATCAGCTATTCTTGCACTTACAACTTTTCAGAACCAGCTGAATACCAGCTGGCCAGAGCCACCACTGTATAGGATCCACAAAACCCCAGCCAGAGTGTAACTGTTCAAAATACTCACGCTCCCCATTTTGGAGTACTGAAGTATCATGTGTGGCTGTATGAGGAAATCTGACAGAGTATATTTGGAAAGTCCACATAGGTCATTTACCAAAACTGGGCTAGGCAAACCATCTACCAGGGACTATCGGAAGCGCTTCCAACAATTCCAGCCCGATCTGCTTTGGCTACGAAGATTGCGACATAATCTGATGCTTCTGTACAATATGATTCATCAAAACGCTTACTACTCTTTGCCCTCCCTAGTACTGCAACGTAGTTCGACAAGGGAGCTACGCACTAAGGAGTTTACCCTGAGTGTACCCAGGTGCATATTAAATCTACGGTCCAACTTTTCCTAATCAGATTTGCTGTCCTGCGGAATAAGCTCCCAGTCACAATCAGATCGTGTGGGAGAGCAACGGTTTTCGCGTTAATCTCGCCAATTATCTAGACTTGAACACGATTATGACCCTGTTCTCTTGGGAGGGATCACTTGCTGATTTGCTCCAAGAGGGGCCAGACAACAACTACTGAGTGAAACAAAAAAATTTGCACGCAGTGTGACACACCCTTAGTGCTGTTACCACCCACTATTCCAACTAGTGCACATTGCGTTGAAACACACGTGTGAGTAAATACATGCCCTTGAAACAACAAAAACAATGCAACTGACACAACTGTTTTCATTCATGCATGAGCATGATACATTCTGTAAAATATGATCTGTGCCAAACACGGTCACAGTTTCTCACCCGATGTGAAATATACCTATTGTTATAATCATCATTATTATTATACGGTTTTACAGTGTATTCATTAGTCACTGGGTCTTGAAATAATCCTAATCAATAAAGCAACCAAAGACGTTTAGGTTGACGTTTAGTTCCGTTTAGAACACCGCAGTTTCTGGTGTTGTTAAGATAATATAATCAAAGAAAGACTTTCTACGTTTGAGATTTCCAAAACTTTCGGCTCTCTTCTCTGTGCCAACAACCAGGCAGGTAACCTGAATAACAGAATCCGTTTCAGATACGATGACACAGGCGTTGTAGTATCTCTCCTAGAGTGCCTGAATTATGAAACGCATTCCAGGTTGAAAGCATGGCTTGTTAATGATGTCTCCAAACACCGTGTCCTATGCCCGGCTTCAGCGAGATTTTGGACGCTTCAGCTAATCGAAGCTTAATGGCCGAGGGATAAATCCATCAGTATTTAGCTACTTCTAACTTAGTCTGAGTCTACCTGAAGAGTGAAATCTATGAGGAAGAAAACAGCACACAAGCTCTCCACTACGAAGGTAGGCCGAGTGAGCAACCTATCCGAGGCTTACTGCATAGCAAACTACGATCGCAATTGGGATTGCGTGTAACAATCCATATACACGGCAGGTACTCAGCAAGAAACTTCTAACCACCGTGTTAAGCGCTGATCGCAAAGCTCGGTGAGTTAGTAACCAAGGTGTCAAATGTGAACCACTATATCACAGTTTACACTCCCAAATACAACTATCTATAATAGAAGAACCCGGGAAAGGAAATAACTAGGCTTGAGCTCTCCTGGCTGAAACGGAATTGCAAACGTTTTATATGGGTTGCGGATCCTTCGTATCAAGCAGGTTGTACCGAAACTTGCTTTTTACGAATAACAAAAACGACATCGAGAAGAAACCGTTTAACGGTTATCTAAGTAAATGGTCACCAAAATAAATAACTTTACCGGACACCAAACAACTCGCGGGAAACGTCAGTGGAATAACTTTGTGCTGGCATCAAATACGGTGTCATATTTCATTTGAATTGGGTCGGGCAAATTGGCATCGTCATTGGGGACCCTGTCAGTCTATCAAGCAGTGTCCTGAATTCGGATGAAAGGTGTACTCGAAAAGACTAAATGACCGGAAATTGCTTCGCTGTATATGTGCAGCAGCCGTTAATCCGATTGTGGTTGTGACGAATACGGCCTAAAATTGATCCACATCCCGTTTACCCATCACCAGCTGAGGCGCAGTACTCGTCCAAGCTAGCTAGTTTATCGAGTGACTGACTGCTCGGTGCACCCACCGATTTAGCTGAGTGTCAGTCATGTCTATCTCAAACCGAAAGCGCGCATGAGATTGCTTGATGGATTGTAGCAAATCACCTCTAGTTACTTGGCCATGTTGTCTGACATCATCCGCAGTGGTCCAGTGGCCTTCAATGCCACATAGAAATAGGATGATCCTCGATTCAAGCCTTTCGGGAGATTTTCCAGATGGGTGCCCTCTGTCTGGAACAAACATTATGCAACCTATTACACTGCGCTAACCTAGGCACACGGTTGACGTTACACGGACAGCAAACCCACTCAACTGATCCACTCAATTTTCTATCGACCATTTTGCATGCCATAGAGCGGTGCTAAGTAAACTAACTGTAATCCATTCGTAGTCTAACTAGATTTGACAGTGTGATGTAATACCCCAAAGAGTAATGAAGTGTGACATCGTATACCTTTCGGTTCCGGTTTTCTGCCTCAGACAATTGTAGCTTCATCTCCAAAGTTCTGCATTTCTCTTTGTACTGAAGCATCTGTATCAGGAAACGGATTTGAACGGAATAAACTTAACTGTGTAACATCACGTGCAATTTCATGCATAAGCATTTGTGCTTTGAGTAAAAAAATAACGGCACTCAAGTATTAATTAAGTTCACTTCGTTTGGTTGTTGTTTAGAAAGTAATTTCCAATCACAATCTGGAAAGAAACCACAGTTTATAGAATGAGACTCAATGTTGGTCATGTGAAAGGTTGGTTGATGAATTCCACCGTTACTCCAACCAAGACAGGTAACAGGCGCGGCGCTTTGGCCTCATCATGAATCATTGGAGCATTAACATCCAAAACGATCAGCTGTATCAGATGAAAGCTGAATCCGAAGTTCGTTTGTTTCTATGGAGTGCGGTGTAGTTTCAAATAAGTGGTTCCCAATTTATTGAGATGTGCTGTGCGCCGTCTATTTGTGCTACGATGTTGTCAATGTGGTCTGCCCAGTACACCGAGAAGCAAAAAACGATTCGACCGTGTGGAACTAGCAGGGACGAAACACAGCCACAAAAGTGCTCTGTTTGTTATTAGACATATAGGGGGCCTGGGACTCGCGTTCATATGATAATCAAAGGCGTCGATATTAAACCTATCACATCTGATTGTAAGTTCCAAAGTGAGGCGATCCAGAAATGCGATTTTGGCTACGTGGCATCAAGGGGATGAATTTTGGTGGAACGGAACTTTATTTGGATTTCTTATGTTAACCGTTTAATATTGCCCTCTTGAAAATGAAGAGCTATACAATATTTTTATGCAGCATTTGAAGTTACTCAGGATACATAGGCGGGTTATTGATAGAGGTACTAAGTCAAGGGGCCTGTGGCCTTGCATCCTAGATTTTGACCTAGTTATGGTAATTTAAACGATCAGCCATATCCTAGAATTCGATTGCGATGTCTTTCATGAAGGAGGTCAAAAGTTTGAGTTATACTGCACATGACCAACGTGTACCAGGTTTCGCGTGGAAATGTTGGAGGCCCTACCAGGACTTCTGTGGCGAGTTCACCAATATCAAGAGTTCAACTGGATTTCTGCTAACCACATACCTGTCTTCGGTTAAGCAAATACTACAGGTACTATATGTGATTATACCTTCACACATGTCTAACTGTCGAAGTAGAACAATGAATGTATTTTGACCACAAGGCCGTTTCTTCGCGTGTATTTAAGAGTCATCACATTTTATCCAGTAGAAGGCCATGCCTCAGCAAAATGAGGAAAGTAACGAAATGCGTAAAAGCATCATATTTAACGAAAACGTATCAGTGGAACACTTCATAGATCTCAATTGCCTAGGGGCCAGTGCATCAGCCGTCAAACACTACTTCTCATGTGTCAAATCCAGACCAGCTAACTCGACATGACGAGCCAGACCGAAAACGAAACCGGTCATGTGAACAACCAACACCAAGAACCCTCCGACACTCACTTTGGCCTGCAGACGCTGTACTAAGTTTGCTTGGCGTTGCTGCCCATCTTGGCACAATGCCAGCTTTTGCTTGTACGAGGCAAGTTCATCATCCAATTTGCGACGGTTGTTCGGCGTTTCACGGTCCCATCCCACCGCAGCAGGAGCGCAAGGAAGGCCAGCAAATGAGTCTTCCTCACATGACTCGCTGAATTCCTAAGAAAAATAGAGAGCTTTTAATTGTATATGCGATAAAACGTGCTGTTCGTAGCAACAAGAATGGTATCGGAATGGTACCCATGCAGAACAGTAAGTCTATCGACTTTCGCAGCCGGACGCTCACAGAGGTGGAACATCATTACGCATAAATAGAAAAAGAAATGCTCGCATTGCTTTACGCCTTGGAGCGTTTCAATGACAATACATTTGGCCACAAATCCATCGCCTTTACCGACCACATGCCCCTGGTATCGATCGCCAGTAAGCCGCTTCATGTTATTCCACGCCGTCTGCAAAAGATGCTTATGTGCCTGAAGAAGAATGATCTAGAGTTTGGTTACCGGCCAGGATCCCTGATGCACATTGCAGAAGAACTGTCAAGAGCAAACCTGTGAGACATACCGGGAAAGGAAGAAGACCCAGACTTTGCCCATGCGAAACAGGTGATCGCCATCACTGAGGAACGCTTGCAGCAACTCCAACAGTGCATGGAGGAGGACGAGTTGTGCAAGCTACGGAAGCACACGATGATGAATGGATGTACCCAAGAGAAGAAAAGGCTGCCTAAGGAGCTTACTCCATTCTTACTTTTTCGCGACGAACTCATCACCCTAGATGGATCGATATTCAGAGGCAATGGGATTGTAGTTCCAAAGGGTTTGCAACATTCGATGCTAGAGCTGATCAATTGTACAAATTTATGAACCAACAACTGCGTGGCCAAAGCTAGCGAACTGTTGTTCTGGCCCGGAATAGCCAGTCAAATACCTGACTACGTCTACAAATGTGTGCTCTGTAGAACACACGAAGAACGCCAGCCATAAGAACCGATGGTGCTTCGTAAACTTTCTAGCAGATTCAGGCAGATGGTTACACTGGACATATTTGCTCATGAGGAAAGGAACTACTTGATTGTGGTAGATAACTTTACTGACTACTTCGAGATCCATGCTCATACGATGACTAGCATGCAAGACGTGGTGAACAAGTTGCGGTGCCACTTCGCTCAGCATGGAATAACTGTGGTGGTGATTTCCGACCACGGGCCGCAAGTTGATAGTGCAGAGCTTCCTGCTTTCGGCAAGAGGTGGGATTTTCGTCACTGACTAACCAGCCCATATTATAGCCAAGGAAACGAAAAGGCTGAGTCCGCAGTGAAGGAGGCAAGGAACGTGCTTACAAAAGCCAAAGTGAACTAGTAAGATCCCCACATAATGCTACTGGATCGAAGGAACACGCCATTTACAGACATCGGAGCGAGTCCAGCACAACGTCTATTCAGTCGCCGAATAAAAACGCCCACGCCGTTCGCTACAACTCTACTGCAGCCCGACATAGCGCCGACCGATGTTCTTCACGACCGACCACGGAACAGAATGCTAAGGCAAAATAAGTAATATGATCACGGCTCAAAAGCATCCCACCACTGTCTACGGGAGAAGAGCGATATTCGCAGCCAGTACCGGAATGCGAAGGATGCCTACGGAAGCGAGTGATCGAAGGCAGGAAGGGAGAAAGGAGATGTGAAGTCAAGGTTGGGGGTAACATCATTCGACGGAATCGGGTGCAATTGTGAAGAGCGCGTCATGAGTGGACACCGCAAAGCGAGGATCGGCAGCGACAACCGGAAAGGAGTCCTGCTATTCAAGCCCAAGACATTAAGTGCGCATGCAATGGAAAGCTTTACGGAACACATTGCAACGCCATTCTAAAAAGCGAACAAGAACACGATGTGATAGGGACTGCAACTGTTGGTGAGTGGAAATGTTACGGTACCGGTAAGCAGTTGGTCAATTGAAAGTCAGCCGGCGTTTCACAGGGTAGCAGAGAGATGCAATCCGGCCAGATAGAAAGTGAGCACGTCATGGGAAGCAGAGTAGTCAGCCGAGCAGCAATTGGTCGGCGCAAGCCCGCGTCGATCTCTGCAAGTATAGTCATCAAACATTCACTGAATGTGCAGGTGACCAATCAGGCGCCAGCGGGTTCTAAAAGCATAGTCGAAGAAGTGTGTACCCGTGAGGAGCGTATTGGTGCGAAATCGAGCCGAGCTTTGTTGTGTTATTGGACCGAGGGAAGAAGTGTGTGATCTGATGGACGAGTGAGTCACCGAGTCAAGCGTACGATCCACCAAGAAAGTCGAGGTAATTTAGACAGAATGCACGTTGCGAGCAATCATAAATCAGTGGAAATGGAGCCAAAGACCGAATGCAAATAGCGAGGATGAGCCACCGAAGCGGACTGTTGCAAATAGTGTATATACTCTATAAATATGCAAGCGTAATCTTACTAATTGAGTTCATGGTCGCAACCCAGTCTCCTTGATTTCTGGAGGGTCACTCGACATTGTGTAGGTCACCTCAGTTCCCGTTGAAACACTAGTAATATGTGCGGGTACTACGCGCCTCATATCGCTTGTTTTCTTGCGGTTTCAGGAAAAACGGCGAACTTTTATACTCTTTGATTAGGTTCGTCGTAGCTAGACAGACGTCACAACTCCGGTTGTTTTGTCTTATTGGGGTTGGTTAGCAGCGCATAGGCACAGGATACTGCTGGACCTGAACATATCACCTCACAGCTAAAGCCAGCGGTATAAGCTAATTAGTCATAAGTGATGCTTGATCCATTACTGACGGCGATTATAACGGATTGCTGCCTGAGATGTTAAATGCCTCATTCTTGGCATTCACTCTGTTTATGAAAGTGTAAAAAAACTCAACTGCCCCCTCCCCTAGAGCCGTGAGTTCATTTCAGGGCCGCCCCCAGTCGTGCTAGCACACAAGCCATTCAAGCAGCGACCAACTATTGAAATTAAACCGTCATCCAGCGCTTCTACGGATGTGTGGAGGCTATCCGGAAGAGTCTAGTTACCACGATCCTTATTAGGTACATATTAAAGGTGGTAACTTTTCTTCCGACAAACAGCTGTTGACCGCTAACATGAAAGCATATAATAACCAGCAGAAATCAGAAGTACTTTTGATGCTCCTCTCCTCGTACCGTCGTTTATTGAGCTTTGTTCATGATCAACTCTGCCACATATAATCTCCTTCCTGATTTATATTTGCTCACTCGCAAAAGTGGCATGTATCGCAGTGGACAACTCAGTAGCCGATCCAACCGACATCTAGCAGTTTAGTTATCGCACGATTTGTTTTAGATGCGGAAATCTTTTCGCCCATACCTCCAGCTGTTGTTAGCTTGCAATCATGGCTCACACAATATATATGATACAGCTTTTAGTTAATCATCGTCGCTAACTGGTCTATACGTAAAGTGAGGTGGGTTATAATTTGTTCAAAACATTTCATTCACGCACGTGGGATCTTGTTTCTTACGAGCACCAATTTCCAAATAGCTGAATCGTCAACAATGTTTTAGCTTTGAAAAAAGTGCATGGCTGATGCAAAACACAATTGGAGCCAGGTTATTCTAACCAAGCATTATTGCATCGTACGAACAGCCTGCGATGATAAATTCCTAAGCCTATTACCACAAAGAGATCATAAGACCATCCCTGACCATCTGCTGTCTAATCTCATAAATCAATTAATTGCTTTTTGTATTTCCGTTTTTGTGCATTCAGTAAAGATGGAGCTGACGAAGAGACGTCTGGGCTACCAAAAAGTATGCGTGTGGCCAACTTCAAGGGTACAGTGAACCGAAAGATAATGGCCAATTGTGTTTTTGTCGCCGTTCAGGGCCAAGTAATACAGTCTGCCCGAGAAGTTTATGTTGCTTTCTTCTAAAATTTCCGTCAATTCAAATACGAATGCCATCTGTCAGTTGAACTTCACGGTTTGCTAGTCAATCCATTTGTTGCCGAAATTTGGGAGCTGAATGATGCGCTTCAGAGACTGACTCGCAAACGGGTGATCTGGAGTTGAAAACATAAGGAGAAAGCCGCTTACACTGCTACCACGTATTTTAGCAATAAATTCGATTTCACTATTGGTACACTCCTAAGGACAGAGTATGGGAATGCTGATGATAATCTACGATATGGAGCATCTCATTGAGAAGAGTTCTGGTTGAGAGATCTATGAGTGCATGGACCATAAATCTGTGGCTATCACCAATCATCTCAAGTACAATGTACAACGATGTTTGTCGCGTCTGCATAGCAGGAGCTAAATGTATTGCATTGCTGTGGTGTACATGCAGGGAGTAGTGAAATTGAAACATTCACGCCCACAGTGTTTTGCGACACTGAATTGTCTTTGTCTTCATACTATCCAAACCCACCATTTGTCTTAATTAGTCTGCAACCCGTTCACTTTCGATTTCCCCGTGAAAAATGCGCCAAACCGCTCTATGATGGTATTGCCCTCCTCTCCGTCAGTTGCAGTTTAGTATAACACGCGTTAGATCCGGATAGTTTTGCACTTCTGAGTATTTTGTTCTCAGGGTGATTATTATTGCTTTTCGTTGCAATCAGCATCCGAATTTCACTCTGCCAAGGCATACGTGCGCCTAAAGCGCACGTTCAGTCAGTGAGCACCTACCGGAGGCTGTATGTCTTGTGCGGTACATGTTGGAAACCGAATAACTCCTGGAGGATATTCGGCCTCGTGTTCACATAGACACGACACGCAGCATTACAATACGTGATTTTAAAAGATAGTCAGAGGTAAATAACTCCCTTACAACAAATTAGATCTGTTCACTGAGCCCACGTGGTTGACAACCACTACAATAAACAAACAAACAAACATATAAACAAATGGATGGATAGGACAGCTTATGTTATAAGCCTGGGTGATTAGTCAATTGCTTAGTCATATAACAAACGTCAGCCTGTGGTTTCTATGAGAAAAACTAAACCAGACAACCAGTTACGTTGCTCGACATTCCAGATGGACCAAAACGTGATGGCAGATGATCATCTATGACCGTGTCAGCAGTACACTGGTTTGCCTTACCAGGTACTTCGCTGCTTCGCAAACCAGGAACAGTCGCGTGCGGACAAAGGATGTTGCAAGGTTTTCCGCTTCTGCCCAATTTCAATTGGGTGACCTTTAGGTCAAAAGACAGACGCTTCACCCCTTCGGCCACCGGCCGATGCCGTTGATTACGGGTTGGTGGCAATCGGTTCCGCATCTGCCTGTCACTGAGGCCTCCTTAGAACAGCCACAGGACGCCTGCGCCTAAAGAGGCACCATAGGTGGCTTGCGCTGAACCACCCACAGCTTCATCCACACACCCTATATCCAGTGTAAACTAGAAGGAATAAGACCGGGAGGCATGTGGATGTGAGCCACGTTTCGTCAGCGGAGCCAGCCCACACTCCCTTAACATGCACAACAGCAAAATTCCCGTCTATCTCTTTAGGGAATCATGTGTGCCAGACGTACACAATGTGGTGGCTCGGCCGTAGCCCGATGCATACTGCATGTTTGGAACACCTCTTTAAGCCTAGCACGACCACGACGACCAACTAGTATAATCGAGTTGCCGGTTTAACAACTGGTAGGCACCTTGACAACATTCATATCAAGCGCAGCCACACCGGGGATATTGAGCAAGCAACACTGCATTTGAGGGAAAATAAACACACAAATTAACACAGCGCGTGAAGCAGAATAACCAAAAAATCTTTTTTAGCTCAGCTAAGAAAATCCATTTTAAGTGTAAGCCTATGTTGCCCAACTGCGGTGAAGATGCATCATGTATGCAACATGAACCTCAGCGTTATCACTAAAGAAGTGTTTGTCAATGGAACATTGGAGGAGGGTGGAGGTCAGTTTGTCAGGGATTAAGTTCCAGCCCTCACAAATGAGTGGAAATGTGTACACGATCCAGTATGCGGTTGTCATTGGCAATCAAACGGAAATACATAGACAGAGTCTATTTGCAAAAGCATGGCTACTCCGAACGATCCATTACTTTTGTCTCTGGCGTAACGGAGAATATTTTTTTGAGTGTCAATTTAAACCTATCAAAATTTATGTGTAGCAAGAGGACTTGACAACCGATACTGAGTCGGCCTCACTTTTAGGACATATTTCACTGTCAGCCGAAAAATTGTAAGGAAGTAAGGGTGACCAGTATGATAAAATACCAATGCTTGACACGGACATAACTGGAACTAGCGTTGGCAGAAGTATACATTCGACCAATACCCATCCTTCATGAGGAATTAAATATTTTTCTGATGTAAAAGGCCTTATGACATCACTACGGGAGGAAGGACATTCAAAGGCATACCTGATCCTGTGCACGAAGCTTAGCTCAAGGATCACATGTAGTTCCCTTCTTTGGCTTACTTTTACGCACTTGTTGCCTACGGCATGCCATCATAAGAATTGACCGATTTTGTTATACTGGTTGTCACTTGGAAATAAAGCCTGGTGGACCATTTGTGCCCAAGAAGTGGAGGAAGCGGGGGCAGTAGACAATTATCTCAAGCTCTTCCAACTGATCAGCACCGCGGGTCCCAAGAAACAAGACGTCAGCGGGACAATCAGAAACAGCTCGGGTGCCCTGTTTCATAATAAGGAGCGCCGAATGACTTGTTGGGCGCAACACTATCGAGAGCTATTCAGTTAGCCCCTGCTCCTGGACGTCATCCCACCCATGTGATGCAGGCTGAGCCATGGCCAATTAGTTTAGAGGGTCCGTCGAAGTCTGAAGTCTGAAGTACGATCGCAGACCATAAATGTTTTCGTGCTGCTGGATTCCCTCGCGCCCCCAGTATATAAGGGTGGTGGGGAGGTCTTCTGCAAAGCCCTGACCTCCTTGCTCGACCAGGTTTGGAAGGAAGAGACCATCCCAGCTAACTGGGGTGAATCGGTTACAGTGGCACTATACAGGAATGGCAGTCTCTATAACTTCGCTAACCACAAGGGCATTGCCCAAACGCCGGTGATGACAAAAGTGCTGGCCTCAATTCGCGTTTATCGCCTCACTGCGGTACGGGAACCCTGGACTAAGGAAGAATAAGCAGGTTTCCCTTCAGAACGGTGCTGTAGAGACCATGTATCCACTCTGAGGTTAGTACTAGTACAGCGTCCTACAAATGGCAGACCGACAAGAGCTGTGTTCCTCGACTTTATGAGTGCGTTCGACTCGGTTGATAGCCACATTCTGTGCAAACGACTTTCTTGTACTATCAGGAGTGTTGCCATCAGACACAACTCGCGTCATTTTGGTGAAGACTGCTGAAACTTAAGTTGATAATCCTGCTCAAATTTGTGCACCAGTATCCTTACACTGGTCTGTCTACACTATAATTCAAACCATATTTAACTTGGGAATTTCTCATCAAGAGTTGTACACCGATTGCATGAAGAACCAACATAGCTATCTATGGAATATCCTACAAGATAGTACCAGGCCTTGTGCAAGTTTCATTCACTAGAAATCAGTATGACTCGTGCCAAAGCAAGAAAATCGCCCAAATAACTCTTCCATTGTGAGCCAGAAAATTTATAGCCAATGGGAAAGTACAGATTCACAAAATTCAAGAGACACATCGGAGTCCCTATAGTACTCATCTAAGAGTATGTTTATAATTGTACATAATGATTTGTTCCCATTACAGGACCACCGACGTACACGAAAAAGATATTATTATTCCCAGGACTACCAGTAGCTTTTCCAGCTGTGCATTGAAATTGCCTGTCCGAGATGTTGAGAATAAGCTGTTCTTTGTTATAATTTACGTCTCCATGTCATTGTCGGTACAACTACATAGTCCTACTCTGTGCGGTCAGGAAGTACCGTATAGTACACAATATAAACCGATGAATTTTGGAGAAAGTTCCATTACTATAAAGGGAGGTCGGATTATATAAAGTTTATGCAAATTTGAAAAAGTCACGTGCAATTTCCATCCCAGAAGGTGTGGAGCTACTTCCTGGTGGGCGACTTCTTGACTTAGAGTATGCAGACGATATTGTCCTAATCTGTGACAGCTCTCAAACATGCCAAGCAGCACTGGACCGATTAGCAATGGCTGTCAATCGTTTTGGGCTATGCTTTGCTCCATCGAAATGCTAAGTACTTCTCCAATATTGTCAAGAACCCACTCCTGCGCTAACGCTTGGTGGTGATCTGCTAGAAGTCGCTTAGGAGTTCAAGTACCTAGGCAGCTATATTAGCATCCATGGGATTGAAGATAAGGTTACGAACCGTATAGCAAAAGCTCGAGGTGCTTTTGTTAATCTCCGCCACCTGTGGCGCAGACGTGACATTACTCTCGCCCTGAAGGGCAGAGTTTATAACGCAGCCGTCCGTTCAACTCTCCTATATGGTTGTGAAACCTGGCCCATCAGATGGACAGACATATAAAGGCTCGTCATATTCGATCATCGCTGCCTTCGCAGCTTAGCTCATGTCTGGTGGGAACACCGCGTGAGCAATGAGCGTGTTCGACGTCGCGTATTTGGTGCAGGAAGAGCGAGTGAACCGCTCAGCACCATTATATCACGCATCAGGCTCCGATGGTTGGGCCACGTGTTGCGCATGCCAGCACACTGACTTCCGCGACCTGCATTGTTTGCGCGTTGGGGGTGCGGTTGGAAGAGGAGGAGGGGAGGCCAAGCGATGACTTGGTCGAGAGAGGTGAAAACCCTCGCCTCGAAGTTGGCGTCGGTTGGTGCATCCCGACTGCCTGGCTGGGGTCCTAAGGACGGTGAACACGTTTGTTTTGACACACTTGCTAATATGGCTTGGAGCCGACCCCAATGGCGTTTGTGTTGTGAGTTTCTTTGTCCATCTTCCTCCTGCTTAGCATCCCCTTTAATCACGGTCTCACTCTTTAGGCATAATAGAACTCCCTTTTTACGACACGATGGCCAGCTGTTAGGTCTTCGGAACGCTGTCCACCCGTTACTGGGGACTCAGCCGGCGTGCCACTGTTTGTATTCTTTTTCTTGTCTTTTGTATTGCGGCACAATAGCTGAGGTGTTTTCCACCTGCAGCTAACGTGTATAATGATGATGATGATGATGCCCCTATCTCCCCCTTAGTACCACCTGCCAGTGACCGTGGTTTGAACTATCTTAATTTCTCGTACAATGTCCACGCAGCGCTGCAGGCGGCATGCTTATAACTATAGATCTGATTGTCAGAAAGTGCGGAAGCTGCAGGCGCCGATGGGTTGTTCTCCATCGACATCGAGCGCATGGTGCTGCAGCACATGCGGTCGTGAGCGTCCGAGACAGGCAGATGTAGTGAGCCACGAGCGAGGCCACTCGGATCTAGCATCGAAGCGACGACTGGTCCTGCAGAGAACGTAAGCAGAACCGACGCACCGTTTGTAGGTACGTTGCATTCGATTTACTAACCGCTTGATTGCATGCTGGGTCTCTTTATTTCAGGTGCTGCGTTTGCTTTATTGTCGCATTATTG